ATCACCGCAGGAAGAAGCAGAAGAGCCAAATGACCAGAGCCATGCTGAGAAACGTGATAACTGAATATTTTTCTGCTTAGTTGGCACTAAGATGCATCTGAAGCCTCTTACCTCTTGGCTTACTTATGACTAGTGCCACATTAACTTCCTTGAGCAAAGCAGCAGCAGGTGTTAGAAATGCAAATTTTAGCTCCAGAAATGTAGCTCTACACAGAAGCCAGTTTGTGTGTTGTCAGGAGTGCTTCTCATCAGCGAGAGCTTCCAAAACCAACACTCTCCACAAACCAAGAAATTCAGAAGTTAGAATGGACTCTTCAGTTTTAGCTTATCCTCTACATCTGCAAAATGCAGTGCATAAGCCATGCAGTATTTTCCATTATTTTGGAGCCCTGCAGAATCCAGCCCTATAGAGCAAGTCAAGAATAACCAAAGGGAAACATAACGAGGCCAGTGTCCCTTTGCACAGTAAAACAAATCTAAAAAAAACCCCAGCAGCCTGAAGTCTTTCTCTATTCCAAGAAACAGCTTCCAGCCTATGAGATACTAGGATCAGCATCAAATTTCATCCTCACACTTTTTGCTGGAGGCCTCCTGGGTGGTCCAGCGGAGGCGAGTGGGGGCACTCTGACCAGAATGAAATAAAGCTTGCTTCCCAGCTATTTGCTTGAGTTGAATAGGCATCTCGGAGGGGCCCCCTCTCCCCCATCATGCTCCCATGGGGTGGTCAGGAGAAACACTGAACTTGCCTCTCCCTTTTTACAAAGGAAGCACTCTCTGTAAGGGCTACAGAACTCTCGAACATGCTTGATCCAACACAGCCTGAATCTGGTGACCTTCTGGGCATGCTGCAAGAGACCTCCATGTAGCAGAGATTTGGGAGGGGGCTGACAGCACGCTTCTCACAACGATGGGGAAGAGATGTTTTTTAAGTTTCTTGCTGAGTTCCTGCTCAAAATGATTCATTTTCCATTAGCACTGGCATTTTATTGTATTAGAAATGACGCAACCTGGAATCCAAAGCCTTGACATTTGTATCATTTAAATTTAAATAAACCAAACGGATGTTACCAAAAAGGTCCCAAAAAGTTTTACAGCCATCTATCGAGCCTTCAAACTCAGCATTCACTTCTTTTGTAATCGACTCCATAATCCTACTATTTCTTTAGCTGTCTACAGATTATTCCAGGGAAAATAAGGTAGAGAAGACTAAAACTTGCAAAGCAAAAAGCAAAGTCGAACAAAAACCTTTTATGCTCAATTTCATAAGTAATGAAAAAAGGACAGAACTCCCATTTTCCCCCCTTTGCAGGTCGGCTTTTTTTTTTCGTTTTTTTTTTAAATTACCAAATTATTTAATCAACTGTTTTTTGTTTGTAAGACTCTTGAGGATATTTTATCAGACAAAAACATGTTCACATAATTAACTCAAATGCATACACATTGAGTGTGATGGCAAGAACAATTTTTATTTACTCTAGTTTGTAATCTGCTAAAAAAGTAATTGTGTAGAAACAAATTTCACAAAGCTCAACACTTGGAAATTAGAATCCTGTCTTGTCTCCTGCACATCTGTCTTTATTAAACTTTTTCTTCCAAGCTCTGAGAACAGACAGTGCTCTGTATTAAAGCTGTCAAATATCTCCATTAAAATAAAAAATGGAAAGGGAGACCTTGATCCAGAAAAATGAAAACAACTTAAGATAGTAAAGGAAAAAATAGCAGGGGAAAGAAAACAGAAGATGCTGTTGCCATAGCAGCTGTCTTTGATAAAAATCACACATAAAAAGGAAGGGAGTTACCCCAACAATAATTAGCCTCCTTAATTTTGGAAAAACAAGAGAGCCTAAACTGAAACACAATTTACAATGTAATTACTTACATTAAAGAAAGAGCTGCAGTGCTCTAAAAACAGGGCAATGTCTGGCTTGGAACTAATCTTTTCTTTTCAACATAGCGAGGACATTTTCTGTGCAAGTTAACACAGAAATGGTGAAATGCGATGGTGTTTGTCTCAATCACAACATCTAAAATCGGAGACCAGTGGCCAAAATGTTTATTCCTCCCCAGTACAATTACTTCTGCGTTAACCCTACATTTCTTATTCAGACACAGTCTCCCTGTTGCTCACCCTGCCTCAGGAATCTTCAACATCTTGACTGTTTTCTTGTAGTATCCCTTGTGTTTATTATAAAGGTAGGATTCGTGCGACCGAGCGTACTCTGTGCTAAGGAAGAAGGGTGGGAAGATCTGAGGACTACCTGAGTGTTTATTCCCATTTTAGGCATCACCCCAGCCCCAACCGGAGCTGCCACCATCTGCGTGAGGAGCACTTCATGCCCAACGAGGACCCAGGCTATATTTTCTTTTAGTTAATGCTCTTCTTGGACTCATATTATCACTATATAGTAAAAATATCTCTCTTTATAGAAGTCTTATCTTTCGGGGTTGTTGTTTTTTGCCTGGGGAGGGAGGAATGGGCATTCAGTGAAATGGAAAGGTAGGAAATCCAAAACCGATCGAAGATCATGGGTTTTTCCCCCACACACAACATGCAATTAGACTGCGGAACTCATTGCCACAGGATGTTACCGAACAAGATTCTAAGAGGGAATGGACATTTTTATGGATCACAAGAACACCCACAATTATGTCAGTTAACTCCTAAATAAATGGCACGGAGCCACTCCCACCTTGCACAGGGGCCCACAGAAGCTGCTGAGTAGGCCTCCAAGCTCAGACTTTCTGTAGCACCGTGTGCTGACACCCCCCTTCCGTGACATGAGCTTTGGGCTTCCCTAGCACTGGCCCCCTGTCCTCCAAGGGTGTTTCCTAGTGTAGGGGCAGATGGCTGGCTGGAGGAGGAGATGGCTCTTATGGAGCACCTCTGCTGGGACAGACCTGGGAGAGGAGGAGCAAGGAGCAGACAGGTTTTAAGTGGGAGGAGGAAGGAGGGAGCCGGTGGGTCACATATGCAGGAAGGGAGCGAAAGAGAAAAAAAAAGCCAGTAGTTGAAGCCCAGATCCATTATTTGGGTAGGAATCCTTCGAGACCATCCCTGCAAGAAGGGTCATGACTATCATTTAAACATACAGGTCCCTACATTTATTCTGCCTTTCTTGATTGGCAACTGGGAGAGACTCTGTGTGAAGGTGAGCTTCCGGTTTTCCTTTCTAGAAGGGTACACAGATCCTTCCATCGTCTCTGAGAAGCGGGTCACGCCACGTGAAAGCCAACTTCCAGCCCTTGTCGTGTTGCCAAAGGCACATAACGGAGCACTGGAAAAGGTGCAAGGCATGCATGCAGAACGGGTTCTGCTTCTAAACACAAAAATCCTCATAACTCTTGAAACAAACGGACTTAGTCACCAAGTCCAAAGGTTCAGATACATGCGGGAAGTGATGCCAAAAGCTCCCATAAAAGTGTTTAATTCTGGAAATACTCTCTCTTCAAACACAGAAAGCCATCAATAGACTTGAACTTATGTAACAGCAGGAAACCTTACGCTATTCTAATGCCATTCCAAGCTGGAGAGAGTGCTTTTGAAGAGAGCTCTCAGAAGATATGGAACTGTATGAACCCCGAGCATCTTTCTCTACTGCCAGATCTGTACATACCGGGTAGAAGCAGAGCAGGTGTAATATTGATTGGAAATTCTACACCTAATGCATACATTCCCCTCCCCCCCCAATAATTCAGTCTCCAACTGGGTCTCAAATACAAGAATTTTACATGTTAAACTACACATCTCACAGCTGATTTTTTTTTTTTTGCTTGTGCACTAATTAAAATGTCTCGACTCTGCAGATCATAGTTTACTACAACTTCCAAATTATGTTCCTTCGACTTATCTGCCTCCGTTTCCCCAAACAGTCAAAGGGGAAAATGTTCCCATGCAGTTTAAAAATCTATAGCCCCCACCATTAGCTGGCTGTTGAATCTATACCAACGGTGGGAATTGACATTACCAAGTACAGCAGAAATCGGGCAGCATACCTTGAAGAGCAGGCGATCCTATTTTTCACCGAGTTTGGCAAGACCCCATGCAGACCACACCTCAGACTGAGTGAATCAAGGCAGAGAGCTAATTTCAAGCGATTATCTCCAGAACTAGAAAGGCTGGCAGCTAATTAACACTTGGTTTGGGAGTCTCTGGGCCTGTCTACATTGAAATTAGATGTGGGCCAGCTGACTCCAGCTTGTAGGGCTCAGGCTAAGGGAACCCTGACAGGTCCTAGAGCCCTGAGCTCAAATGTCTACACCTCAATCAGCCCCTTAGATCTGAGCCCTGTGAGCCCGCGTTAGCTGCCACAAGCCAGACCTGGGATTTTAACGGCAAAGCAGACATGTATGTGGGCTGCAGGAAGGGGAGCACACGCTTACAGAAACAGGATTAACAGACACATTTCACAGAAGCAATGAAACGTTCACACCCTCGGCGCCTACTTCTCAAAAGCAACAAATACTTCCTAGCTGTTTCAAAAAAGGTGTTTCGATGGGCCTCCAATTCTCTCGCTGGGCTTCAAGAAGTATCTTCTATTTATCAGAGGGCAGAAAGATTAACCCAACAGCGAGGGGGCATATTTATTTTTTTAGTGCAAATTTAGAGAGAGGAAAAAAAAGAATCAGCTTACCCATCTAACGATTTGCTCCATTATTTCCGCTAAATAGGAGCTGGGTTTTAAGAAAAGCTGGGGTCTATGCAACACTAGCATATGACAGGAGACCCCATTCCTGGAAAGACATCACATACTATGCATAAAATTGACATAACGGTATGGTTGGAGCCGCGCTGGTCCCGGGATACTAGGGAGACCATGAGGGAGGCGACAGCTTTTACTGAATCAATTTCTGCTGGTGAGAAAGAAGCTTTTGAGCTACTCGGCGCTCTTTATGCGTGGGCTCAAGCCTTTGCAGGGTTGGAGTCCTCATCATGTCTTCTCTGTTTCCCCAAACCTTTCCCGTCCCTGTCCACATTTTCATCCCCTCCAACCATTTCTTACCGATTTGTATTCGTAATACAGTTTATCAAATTCATGGCCGCCAATCGTGACTTCTGGGATGTAGAGAGGGACCGTTGTAAGGTTCACTACTTGATGTTTGTCCTGCACACTAAAGAAAGAATAAAAACACAGTTATGTACACCCTTGGAAATAATTCAATCAACTTGGAAATTCAGAGATGTCGGAAGACTGAAATGGGTTAATAATCTGGATACAGAGGACAAGAAAAATCATTAATTCTGGCAATGCAAATACAAAAAATGGATTTTTAGACTTAGGATTCTCTTTTGGTAATACTAATACGAATGC